TTTAGTAAAAGAACAGCCCTTTATCACTAGATTCAACCTTTTTACCCAGAGCTAACGTTTATTTAAGCCAGGGGCCAACAAGTTTTCTTTAGACTTGTGAACTAATGGTACCTTCTTTAATGGTTGGGGAAAAAAATCAAAAGAAGGCTACTTAGTGACGTATAAGAATTATGTGAAATTCTAATTTCGATGATCATAAATAAAAATTTCTTAGAAAACAGCCACACCCGTTTGTTTATATATTGTCTATGGCTGCCTTCACACTACAACAGCAGAGTTGAATATTTGCAGCAGAGAACATATGGCCCACAAAATGTTTGCCAATCCCTGCTTAGACTAATCATAGCTCAATGCCTGGCAGTGTTAAATAGGCCAGGGGAGCTCACTGCTTCCAAGTGCATCCACTAGCTGATTCATTCATTCATTTCATAAGCACAGTGAGGGACACAATCAAGGAAAATGTTCTTGTGCACATCTACCACTCACATTCCAGGATGACAGGAACAGATTCCCTCCTTAATAGTCCATGGTATTCTGCATAATTACAACATTGTCAAAACTTCACACTCTTTCTGGTCCCTGTGTTCTTATTAAAATAGTATGCTTGCTCCCCTCTTTCTCCCTCTGGCTCAAAGAAGTCCTCAGTTGCAAATTGCTTTCCTCCCAAGAACTCCTAAATTCACTCATTCCACATGCATTTATCAGCACGTGTTTTAGGAACTATGCTCAGTACCCTGATATATAAAATGAATAAAATGTAGACTCTGTCCTCAAGATATTGACCACTTAAGGGCCGGCCCGTGGCTCACTCGGGAGAGTGCGGTGCTGATAACTTCTTCCAAAATGTTTTGCCGGACATCCAGAGTCATAAAAAAAAAAAAATGTAACTGGGAACTGAGGTGCTGAATGCCCTTCTCTTGGATGTATCAGAGTTTTGTGGAAACAGTGTGGTTTTTAAATCATATTGAAAGTAGAATGGAATATTTTAAACATGTTGAATTTAAATTGCCTATGGGACATTTAAATGAGAATACCCTGTGTATAATCAAGTATTGACCACTTAAAAGGGATTATGGGGGGCCGGCCCGGTGGCGCACTGGATAGTGCGCCGCTTGGGAAGCGCGGCGGCGCTCCCGCCCGAGGGTTCGGATCCCACATACAGACCGGTTCCTGCTCACTGGCTGAGCGAGGAGCGGGAGCAGCACCGAGGGTTGCAGTCCCGTTGCCGGTCCCCGGTCCGGTACGGGGGCAACACTGAGGGTTGCGATCCGTTGCCGGACACGGAAAAAGACAAAAAAAAAAAGGGATTATGGAAGATAATATAAAGATGGTGAGAGACAGACGGCAAAGAGGAAAGCCCAGGGCAACCTCAGGAACCAGGGAAGGCTTCAGAGAAGTGGCAGACAAAGATAAGTAGCAAAAGGGGAGGATCAGAACTGGAGGAAACCATTTCATACCCAAGGACACAGCAGCATGAGCAGAGACATGGAGGTAAAGAAGCAGATGACACATGCAGACACCTATAATCGGTTGGGTATTGAGGGAGCTACAGACCACAGGTATTATATATACTTCTCTTTACCATTCTGGCAGCTATTGCCTTTTATTTCTCAGTGTTTCGTACACATTCAAAAGCTCCTCTACCAACAATCCTTTGAATTCTTGAAATTGTTCTTTGCTTACCTTACACCCGTTTTCACAGCACCCTTGGAGGTGATGTCACCGTTTTGAAGATGAAGAAATGGAGGTTCAGAGAAGTGAGAAATGTGCCTAAGTCCTCCTACTTAAAAAGCAGTCGCATCTCCAAAGTATGAACCCTGAAGAAATTCTTAATTGTGTGCACAAGGAGACTGCACAAGAACATTAAAGCAGCACTGTCTTCGAGAGCAAAAATGGGAGACAAACTCAATGTCTACAGAGAACTCTAGGAGAATAGACAACTCATGGTGCTTTCACACAATGAAATATTATTGAAGCATGAAAGTGAGTAAATTAGAACCTCACATATCAGCATGCATTAATATTTTTTAAATGGTGAGTAAAAAAGAAAACCAAGTTGCAGGAATAAACAGTATGTATAATAATACATGTAAAGTTTCAAATCATGCAAAGCAATACTTCATATTCCCTTCATATGAGTTTGTGGAAAAATGGAACTAAAAGATAAAAACAAAAAATATAAACTCTATTTCTCAACATAAGCTCCTTCAAGTTCAAGACATTTTTGTAAGTGATCATACCAGCCATTTAGTTCATCCATAAAGAACGGAGGGTCCTGGGAATTTAACCACGTCAATGTGGTCTTTTTACATTACTAACTGAGGAAAAATGGTTGTCCTTCAAAGATGATTTAAGATTGAGAAACAAGAAGTCAGAAGGAGCCAAATCAGTACTTTATGGTGGATGCCTAATGATTTCCCATCAAAACTCACAAAATTGCCTTTGTTTGATGAAAGGAATGAGCAGGAGTATTGTCGTGGTGGAGAACGACTCGCCAGTGAAGATATTCTGGGTGTTTTGCTGCTAAAGCTTTGGCTAACTTTCTCCAAATACTCTCATAATAAACAGATGTTATCCTTCTTTGGCCTTCCAGAAAGTCAACAAGCAAAATGCCTGGAGCATCCCAAAAAATTGTTGCCGTGACCTTTGCTCTTGACCAGACCTTTTGCTTTGACTGGACCACTTCCACCTCTTGGTAGCCATTGCTTTGATTTTGCAGTCTTCAGGGTCAAACTGGTAAAGCTCTTTGAAGAAATGCTTCAGGATCTTGATCCCACTTGCTTAAAATTTCCATTCAAGGGCCGGCCTGTGGCTCACTTGGGAGAGTGTGGTGCTGAGAACACCAAGGCCCCGGGTTTGGATCCTATACAAGGATGGCCGATTAGCTCACTGGTTCAGCATGATGCTGACAATACCAAGTCAAGGGTTAAGATCCCCTTACTGGTCATCTTTTAAGGAAAAAAAAAAAAATTCCATTCAAAGTTCTGCTCCTGTCTGCAGCTAATCTAGCTGCAACAGTTTTGGCACGCATTGAGCAGAAAGTTTGTTCAACTGTAATTTTTCAGTCATAATTGTGTAAGCCAGACCAATTAAGATGTCTACGGTGCTGGCTATTGTTTGTGCTGTTAATTGTCCCTCTTCAGTTAGGGCATGAACAAAATTAACTTTTTCCTTGCAAATTGATGTGGATGGTCCACAGCTTCAGGCTTCGTCTTCAACACCTTTTTGTTCCTTCTTAAAAGGAGATATCCACTTGTAAATTGCTGATTTCTTTGGGGCATTGTTCTCATAAATGCTTTTTATAAAGCATCAGTGATTTCACCCTTCTTCCACCCAAGCTTTACCATAAATTTGATATTTGTTCTTGCTTCAATTTTAGCAGAATTCATGTTAGAGGCTCTTTTCAAACTGATGTCTTATCCTTCTTAGTGACTCAAACTACATCCTGTTCAGAAATGTCATAACGAGTTACTACGATTTTATTTTGGTGCAAAAAAATTTTGAAACTCATGCATAGTTTTTTCATAATGTGCATTTTCCATAAACTTTTTGAAGACCCCTCATATGTACTAAAGGAATACAGAAATGGAGGGCTGGCTGCTTAACTCGGTTAGATCGCAGTATCATATCACCAAGGGCAAGGGTTCAGATCCCTTTACCAGCCAGCTCCCCCCCAAAAAACAAAAAAGAAATACATGAGAATGAGAAATGCTGAATTCAGAATAGTATTTACTTCTGAAGGAAGAGGAGTTCATTACAAAGTAGGGGAGAGGCATTCCAGGAAGAGGGAGCAGCATATACAATAAAAGGAGTTATGCAATAGCATGGTATTTACAAGAATCAGTACTGTATAGGTTTAATGCCACCAAATCATAGGGTGAAAGCAGGAGGGAGGTGAGGGCAGTGGGAAGACAATGAGATTGGGAGGTGCACAGAAGCCTGGTAGTGCTCGGTTTGACTTTGTCCAACAGACTATGGGGAGCTGGTAATGACTTCTTCCTAGATAGAAATATGGAGAGCAGATTGGAGCAGTTGAACTCAGAGGAAGGGAGATCTGAGCATGTTCCTAGCAAGAGATAATGAGAATCTGAAATAAGGCAATATCGGTATGACAGGAAAGTAGAGGATATCCAAGAGATACTCCTTCACGGTGCACCGGGAGACATGCCCATCAACAGGAAAATAGATGGACTATTGTGCAGCCGTGAAATGAATAAATTACAGCTATATGCAACAGCTGAGATTAATTTCAAAATATTAAGTGAAACAATCAAGTCCCAGAATACCACATAAAGATATAAATCGTATAAAGTTTTTTTAAAAATCTAAACATATTTTAGCCATGCACATGTGTGATAATATAGAGAGAACGGAAATAATGAATACAAACCTGGATAGTGATTCCTTTGAAAGACAGAGGATGAGATGACGAGATTTATACATACATATGTATTTATGTGTGTGTATAACATGTGTATATATGCATACACTGAGAGAAGGGGAGAGAGAAAAAGATCATTTATGGACCAGCGATGACAACGTATCATGACCAAGGATTGTGCTTAATCTATTCTGTGTATTAAAGGCCATAACAAAAGAAAGATAAGGCAGGAGATAACGTATTTTTGAGATACTTTGAAGGTGGATCTGTAAATCTGCAGACTTTTGCCTCCCTTGGTTTCAGGTTCACGCCCCCAAGGTGAACGGCCTCACGTGCCTCTCCTTCCCTCCAGTAAGAGGGCGGAGGGACAGGCGTGAACCAGCCCGCGGACGAGGTCACAGTTGAGCCCGGAACCGGCGGAAAAAGTGGGCGGGACAAGCAGGTAGGCGGGACTAGCAGGTAGGCGGGACTAAAGGGGCTTTCTGGGAGCCAGGCTCCCGGCGCAAGCGTAGTAACGTGCCTCGCCGTCATGGCGCCGGCGCCGTCCAGTCATCCGCCGGTGGTGGCGGCCACTTCCCGTCAGGAAGCCGGGTCTCCGCCTCCTCCTCCCACCCCGCCTGCTCGGTGGCGGAGGCGGCGGCGGCGGCAGCGGTTGTTCCTGCCTCTCCGCCACCTCCACCGCGGCCTGTTCCCTGGCCGGCGGCGTTGGCGGGGAGGGGGACAGTAGTTGTAGAAGCCCGCCCCTGTCTCAGAGAAGGTGAGTTCCCGCCCCGGCGGCGGGGGCGGCCCCGTCTTCAGGCCCTCAACTCCCGCGGCCCAGTGAAGGCTGCGCGCTCAGCCCGAGTGTGCGAAATGGCCGACCGGGGCGCGGCCGCAGTCCCTCCGCTCCCCTCACCGCCCACCGCCACCGGGAAGGGGCGCCAGGGCTCGCAAGTGGAGCGCGGAGGGCAAGGGGACGCCTCAGCATGTCGAGAAAGCTGAGGTCTGAGAGGAAAGAGAGGTGGCCGGGCAGACTGGACCTGGAGCGTCAGGAGAGGGAAGGGAGGTTGAGACAGATGAGCGGAGAAAAGCAGTAAACTTCCGTTTGGTGACATTTAACATCCCGGGAAGTGGAGTCTTCACAGCAGGATACCTAATTTAGGAAGAGGTGGAGTTAGAACTGGGGGGAGCAGGAAGTAGCGTGGAGCTCTACAGTTACAGGGGCCCTCGGAGGAAAAGGAGACGGTGAGGTTCGGGGAGAGCACTTGGGAGAGTATTCCTAGGCTTTTTGAGGATATGGCCCTGTAAGACAAGACAGTGTCAAAGATGAACAAAGCTGGACGTTACAGCTGTAAGAACAGATTTTATTCCGTAACTGCTGACTGTAGGAGAAAGAGCTGAGCCCCATTCCGATTTGGGCAGAGGTGACTGGGCGTTTTGAAGGGAAAATGAGGGACAAGGGAGTGTTCAAGTAGAGTCAGGGAGGGAACGATTACAAAGGGCTGGTCAGTGTAAATGCAAGTAGGCCAGCTGTGTCTGCTAGCTGGTAATTATCAGGATTCTATCCTCCCAGGGGAATGGCAGGCAAAGGCCCTATCCTTCCTAATTACATTTCAAATGAACGGCTTTCAGGTCCTTGAGAAAGACACTCCTGATTTGCAGGAGATACTACATCTCAAAGGGTCAGAGGAGTCACAATTATGAGCCTTTTGAAGTAAATGCTTTTTTAAAAAAGGGGAGGTCACTGGCCTCTCAACAGGTGTTGGCCAGAACAAACAAATCCTTTTGACAGCCCAGAGATTTTATACCAAACTTCCTGCCGGTGACCAACAAGTAAGCTTGAGCTGTTTAGGATGTCAGGACTACAACTCGGTTTGTCTCCCATGGCCAGATCACAGGAAGATTTGGAAACAGCTTCTCATGGAAAAACAACTTTTACCAGACTCCACATTTGTTTTTGTTTTGTTTTTTGCAATAATTTTGAATATGTGCAAAAGAATTTAAAAGATGTCAGTTCACAGGATGGTAGCAATAACCTTTCTATACCACTTCAAGGTGATAAAATGAGACTACTGGAATAGGAGTCTGACTAGTAATAGGTTCTAGTGCTAGTTTCTCCATTAGCTGTATGACTAAGTCCCAGACTTTCTGGACTTAAGATTTGTTATCTGAGGGATGGGGGATTTGGACTAGCCCAGTGGTTCTCAAAATCCCCAGGGGCGGTTTTGCCCCCCAGAGGACATTTGGCAACTTCTGGAGGCATTTTTGGTTGTCACCATGGGCAGTCAGAGATGGTAAGCAAGCATAGACGCTGCTGGCATCTACAAGTACTTCAAAAAGTTCATATAGGGGTGTGCAGCCAAAAAAGAAAAATTGCATGAAAGATTCATACTTTAATTCTGTTTTCCACGAACTTTTTAAAGTATTCTCATTTGGTATATGCAAGACATGCTACAAAGATCCTAAAATGCCCAGGACAGCCCAACACACACAGTAAAGGATTATCTTACCCAAAATGTAAGTAGCGTTGAGGTTGAAGAACCCTGGACTGACCAAACTCTGGGGTACTTTACAGCTTTAAAACTGTGGACTGACTTAGCAGTTGTGTATTGGTATTCTTTCCATGGCATGGCTGTGTACTAGTACACAATACTAGACCAGTAATTCTTAAAACGAACTTTGAATATCATCTGGCCATTATAGGTCAAAGAGTAATAAAATCTCTTCTGAGTTAGAGACTATTCACTAGGATTGGAAAAACAAAATATAAATTTTACCTAAAAATTGCTTCTTGTCACTTTATTTCAAGTAAATATACCCCATTAACAGTTCAGTTAACTGCCACTTGACAAATGATAAATACTTGATATGTTACACTATTTGAAACACTATTAGGACTCAATATAATTTTTTTTTCTTTTTTTTAAGATGTATGGTAAGGGGATCTTAACGGTTGACTTGGTGTTGTCAGCACCACACTCTCCCAAGTGAGCTAACCGGCCATCCCTATATAGGGATCCGAACCCGTGCCCTTGATGTTATCAGCACCACACTCTCCCAAGTGAGCTAACCGGCCATCCCTATATAGGGATCCGAACCCGTGCCCTTGATGTTATCAGCACCACACTCTCCCAAGTGAGCCAGGGGCTGGCCCTAGGACTCAATATAATTTTTAGATATTTATAAAAGCCTTAAATAATTGCCAGTTATGACTGGATAAACAAGAAGAGGAAAAAAAATGTTGCTTGGTACTTAGCCAGGATCTTTTTTTTTTTTTTAAGTCTTGTTAGGAAATTCCTTCAAAAGCTAAAGAATTGTTATGCTTTCAGTTATTACAATTCCATTCTCACTTTCAAAATCCTGGTAGGACCATTAAAACTGATTTGAAGAATATCTGCAAATTCATTTTTACCTATAGCTGTATCTACCCTTAGGAGGAACTCCTTTGTATTGGGCTTGATAATGAGCAAATGTCAGTAAAGATTAAAAATTGGCAAGCAGGGAAGGTATAAGTTTACAAATAGGAATTTAAGAAATTAAACTCAATCACAAAATCCCAAAGAAGTACCATGTGACCAGAATTGAAAGAAGTATACATACTTAAATCTTATGACACCGTGACCATAATTTCTTCCAGGACACTTTGTAATTCATTCAGTGGAGTTTCTCAAATATTTTTGACAAAAAATGTTTCACCAGGTAATGAGATCACTGAGTAATCATAGTAAAAACAACCTCAACAAAAACTTGTTTATCCACCTCTTCTTTTTAAGAAAAAAAATTAAATTGACTCGGTTTTGGAGTGAAGGACATTGCTGACTTCTTTTTGAGTTATTATCCCTTTTATATAGTAATTGCTTAAAAATATTTTCCTTTGTTTCAGTATTATTCAGAGATTGAAGTTAAATGACAAAAAATCTAGCTGATGGCCCTTCCTTCGTTTACTCAGAAAACATTTATTGAGATCCTACTATGTAGTACTCTTCAGGTACTACACTCAGTATGAAGGATATACATATGAATTAGGCTAGCCCTTTTAAAGGGATCAATAGTAATGTTAGTGAAATTAGGAAGAAAAAAAAAGTGGAGAACATGTGTTTTTAATTATGGATAGTAAGGCTCCTGAGATATCGGAGTAGTTTGTTGTTTTTTATAAATATGTGCTCTGCTTATGACATGTTTGCTATATGCACACCGGAGCACATTATGTTATTGAAATCTAATGTTGACAGCTTGGAAGAATGATGGGGGAAGAGGATGTCGAGAGACAGTGATTATTTGTTAGTCTCAGATCTGCTGCCTCTATTAGGTGTCAATATGTGAAAATACTGACTAGGCATGTTAAACTAACTAAGGATTGCCCCTGCTATATTCATCATATATATGTTAGGACATGAACATTTGTATTTTCCCTCTTCTTACAGACCTGTTCACATTTATGAACCATTAGAAGGAATGGCATACATTTGATGATTTTCTGATGCAGGATATCTGCTTAGATCTAAGTAAAACTAACTTCACAAGCATGATTGGTCCCTGAGCTAGATAGCCATAGAGTATTTGTGATTATTGATGTTCAAAGATTTATTTTAAATAAAAACATAAATTTGGTATTAAACATGTAATTAGTACTCCCAATTAATGATTTTATTAATTCATTTGTATTTTGTCACGGGAAATATGCCATAATAAACCCTTAGTTATTTTTGTGATTGTTGTATTAGTGTGAAATAGCTAGAACTTGGCAAACCAGGTCAGATACTAATCTCATTTCCTGAAAAGGCAAGGTTAATAACTAGCATTATAACTAAGTATTCATGATGCTGACAGGTACAGGGCTGCATTTCCAGCACGATTAAAGTCTCTGAAAATGCCTTAAATGGGGTTTGACCTGGGGCCTGGGGGAGTGTGGAAGAAAGCAACATGCTTTGGCAAAAGCCAAAATCAGTTACCTAGTCTACTAAAATAGTGCTGTGCTTTGCTTAGTCTTTCCTAAGATTATAATGGTATTAAAAGATTACAAAATTCCCTAAGATCAGGAACAAAATAAGGCTGTGCATTCTCACCACTTCTATCTAGTATTGTACTAGAGGTCCTAGACAGTGCATTCAGGCAAGAAAAAGAAAAAGTTTACGGATTGGAAAGAAAGAAATAATATTGTCTTTATTTGCAAATGATCATCTATGTAGAAAACCCCAAGGAATCTAGGAAAAGGTAACTAGAATAATAAGTGAGTTTAGCAAGGGTGTAAAATACAAGGTCAAAATACAAAATTAATAGTATTTCTAAATGCTAGCAACAAGCAATTAGAAATTGAGATTTTTTTAAAAATACTACTATTAAAAAATAAATACTTGCCGATAACTTTAACAAAATACACTGAAAACTACGTAACATTGCAGAGAGAAAAGTTGCAGGTAATGGAAAGAAAATGTCTCAATATTTTTTAGTGAATTAGATTGAAAAGTATAGGACTGTGTCATTAATTTGGTATAATCGTTAGAAAGAAAGAATTGATCTAATTACACCTAAAACATAACCATAATCCTAATTTTGATCAAAAATTAAAGATAGTTAAGAAACATTTAAAAGTTAATTTTGCTGAATTATGTTTAAATGCCATATCACAACACAAATAATGTGCTGTGAGGCACAAAAATTTTTTGCTCAAATTCAGTTGATTTATTCATCAAACAGGAAGCTTCTGTAGTTACTAATTAGGAGAATGTCTCACTATGACAGTTAAATAGACAAAATCCCAAAAATACAAGTAGTTTA